GCCTGCCCTGGGTCTACACAGGGATAAGCCCATTAACAGTCAGACATGGTCACAAGAAAGACTCAGGGTGACTACTCCTCACTGACAAACTATTTAGTAGAGATAGATTTGGGAAGATGAAGAATCATTGTCAGTTATGTATCCATGGAGGCCCCATAGGGCTTCAAGAAATCATTCCAATCTAATTGTCATACAAATGTCCCTGGCTAAACTAGATGGGTCACAAAACAAAACCAGAAGTTATGATTCTGGGAAAAAGATGGGGATAGTGGAAAAGCAGGGGGTGGGGGTTGACAGGGATGTAAGGAAGATAAGGAAAAAGTAAACAGAACACAGAACACTTGTATACAATTTTCAAATAACAAAATCAATACAAAGTAAAAACATTATCATCTATTAACAAAATAAAAGACAGAAATTACCTCAACCTCTACATGTTCAATGAAAAAATGATAAAACTCTAGCAATGTTGATAATAAATCTTTTCAGAGATTTAAAAAAAAAAAAAAGCAAATACGTAGTACCCTAGCACACCATGTCATGCCGGATCTAAATACTCCAAATTTCCTCCAATCTTCTATTACACCCTGTCCCCAGAAGGCAAACACTTGGGACCACCTATCATATAGTGTACAAACAATCAAATAGTTATCCATAGCCAAAGTAGTGTTTCTTCAGCTTGTTTCCCCTTCAGTCTTCAACATCTTACTGGTCACGTTGCTTGTATTGACTAGTTTTCTGTCAACATGGCACAAGCTAGTCATTTGAAAAGAAGAAACCTCAATTGAGAAAATGCCTCCATCAGATCTGGCTGTAGGGTATTTTCTGAATTAGTGATTGGTAGCGGATGGGCAAGCTCATTGTGGATGTTGCTATTACTGAGCTGGTGGCCGTAGGTTCTATTAGAAAGTAGACTGGGCAAGCCATGAGAAAGAAGCCAGTAAGCAGCATTCCTCCGTGGCCTCTGACCCAGCAATTGTCTCAGGTTCCTGCCCTGCTTGAGTTCCTACTTTGGCTTTTCTTAATGTACTATGACTTGAGATAAATAAGCTAAATGAACCATTTACTCTCCTAGTTGCTTTTGGTCATGATGTTTCATCATGTCAATAATAAGTTTAATAAAGACAATGCCGGAACACAGCTTACTCATTGAACATTGCCTGATGCATATTTTCTTCCTGGCCTAAATGAGTACTATAAATTTTATTTTTTGTCTAAAAAAAATCTTTGTCTTTGTTTTTGGCAGATGTGGGATCTAAGGAGGCTTCCAGCTACATAATAAGCACCCACTGAGCAGGTGATGCTCCCACAGAGCCCACTGTGCTCAGTGCTCTCTTGATGCAGTTGGAAGCCATGGGTGAGCTCCCTCCCATAGCAGGTCTCATTGATTTCCATGTTGAGTTCCCTTATCTTTATTGAGCATCTCCTTAAAGATGTCCCATTTAAAATTAGGTTGCATCCAATACATAATTGGGCTCAGCCTTACAAACTGCAGGCTTTAATACCTTTGCTAGACCATATATACACCTGATCAAAGGAGCTTTTCTGTGTTTTCATCAGCTGCTAAACCTTTCATGATCTAGAACCTGGAGACTGCACATGAAAGAACATATTGGAAAACTTGAACTTAAAAACCACTGTAAAAGAGTTATGGGCATGGCCTAGTAAAAATAAACCAAAATAAAAAAATAAACCAAAATAAAAAAATAAACCAAACCACTTGAATAGGCTACATTGAGTTCTTCTCACCACTCACACTAAAGCAAAACTTCAGGAACATAAGCCCTTGGCTCTCATCTCTCCACTCAAGAGAGCCCTGAAGATTCTCAGTACTGACGTTCATTGACGACCTACCTCAAGGCAATACTGAAGAAAGATTTTATTTTTCCCTAGAAGCAGAGAATATCCTAGACATGAACCACTACTCAAGATTATAGAACAAACGTTCTGTCCAGTACCCTCATGAAACACTTGCCCCCTTTCTTCTTAACTTCTGCTTGTTTCTATATTAAATGGTAGGCCAGTGCTATGCTTGGAGTTTCACACTCATGCCCTCAACAAGAAGCATGATTGAATACAAAAATGCCCCCATTCAACCCAAAGCCCTTCCTAATTTTCAAGACACTCTAGTTCCCTCCATAATAGTGTTTATTCAATTAGACAATCCATTGTTTAAATCTAACAGCAAACAAAAGAGAGAGACTGGCAGGGCAGTGGTGGCGCACACCTTTAATCTCAGCACTTGGGAAGCAGAGGCAGGAGGATTTCTTAGTTCGAGGCCAGCCTGGTCTACAGAGTAAGTTCCAGGACAACCAGGGCTACACAGAAAAACCCTGTCTCGAAAACGAGAGAGAGAGAGACAGAGAGAGAGAGACAGAGAGAGAGAGAGAGAGATTGATTGAGATTTGATTGAATATTTCTAGAAACTAAGAAAGTTAAAAGAAATAATTTGACAATAACACAAATACCCTATCTGCGAATAGCTTGTGACCTGCAATGGTTTGATAATGGGATATTGTATAAAAACTCCTGGGCTGGAGAGATGGCTCAGTGGTTAAGAGCGCTGACTGCTCTTCAAGAGGTCTTCAGTTCAATTCCCAGCAACCACATGATGTCTCACAACCATCTGTAACAGCGATCTGATGCCCTCTTCTGGTGCGTCTGAAGACAGTGACAGTGTACTCACATACATGAAATAAATAAATCTTAAAAAAAAAAAATTCTAGTGATTCTTTCCTGGCAACCTGTGACTCCGAAGGTACAGGAACCATCTGTTGGAACTCTTTAGAATGATTAGTTTAATTTAGAAAATTTAATAATAGACTGTTCCAATGATTATCTCCATTTCTCAATAAATAGGAAGAAAGTAACAATGTGGATTTGGGATTCTAACAGTATGACCATCAGTAGCAGGTCTTTTTGAAACACAACCATCTTTCTTGATCATACATGGTCTATATCTACATTCTACATATAAAGTCAGCTAAGGGAGATGAGAGGGGCATCACAGGATCACAAACACCATGGAGGTGACTCTGTTAATGTTGACAGTCCCTACTGAATCATAGCATGTAGTGGGTAGGGTCACTAGTTCACTGGTTTTGGAAAGTATCATAGTTCATACTGCAAGTAGACATAGACTCTTTGCTAAAGGGGTTCCAAGGCTTTCTAAGTTTATCTTGCATATTCTCATGTCTGAGAGATCACAAATGCTTAGTGGTACTGGCTTATGCCACTAAAACCTGTTGTCCTTGGCATTGCCTTGGACAAAGTTTCTATGGCTATAGAAAGCTTCTTTGCCATGGAATCACAAGAACCAATAACAATTCAAATTGTTTTTGTCCGGGCTAGAGAGATGATGGCTGCAAAATAGTAAAGAGTACAGGCGTTCTGAATTCTTGCTTAGGCTTCGAGGCTAAGCACTGCAAGGGAATATAAATGAAAGAAAAAAATATCTATCTGGGTTCCCTGAGGACAAGCCTGACTGCATAGGGGTTGATGTCAAAAGTATCCCCTCTCCAGGAAAAAGACATCAGGATGGGTATGGCCCTCACACCTCACTGGACAATGAAAGGGGGACCGAAGCCATTACAAAGTCCTCTTCAATTACTGGAGTTCAGGCCTCTATCCCCGCCTTCGCAAGATTAGAATCTCCACAGCCTTTCTTTACTTAGAGAAGGGAGGAAATGTCAGGGGCAGCCCTGCTTATACACTGAAGGCCTAAAATCAGCCATTGGCCTAAAATCAGCAATAGGCCTCTCATACATGTATACTAACACCAAGTCTTGGGTCTCAGTGGAAAAACATTAAAACAGATGGCTATAAGCTAATGTAAACAGGCAGTTTTTGTGGAAATTTACAAGCCTGAGTAGTCATAGACCTTATAAATAGGTAGCCTTGGTAGACAATACCAACTTAGATAAGGATAAGCGAGTCATAGGCAGAGTCATAGTGACTTGTCCCCTGAACCTTCACCCAGCCGATACCTGGCTCTGAAAGATATCTGCATTCCCCCTGAACACCCACACTCCAGTGTCATTCCCTTCCCCACATCCTGCCTTTCTGTGTTTATAACCCCTGTGTGAATGAATTATGATTTGAGAAAAAATAAATTATTTTTAAAAATGTTATCCTTAAGTCAAATTTATATATGAAGAGTTAATATTTTATATAATAAAAAAACAATAATATTTAACATAAAAAAATAGTAAAGAGTACTGGCTGCAAATCCAGAGGACCTGAGTTCGATTCCAAGCACCCACATGATGTCTCACAATCATGTGTAACTCCAGTGCTATGGGATCTGACCTCCCCAGGGACCAGGCACACAGAATGGCATACAGATATACATTTGGATAAAATCCATATGCATAAAAATAAATGTAATAAAAAAACATCAATTAAAAAGAACAAGATGTCTTTGAACCATGTGCATACATGGGTGCAAGTGCACACAGAGTCCAGAAGAGGGCCCTAGGATTTGAATTCAGGTTCTTTGCAAGAGCAGTACATGTTTTTAACTGCTGAGCCATCTCTCCAGCCAACAACCCAATGAGTTTTAGTAAGCATTAAAATGTCCTCTGCTATTAGTCTCGGGAATTGAGGTTTTCACATTCAACATTCTTAGCTATTTTATAGATATCTTGACTGATTGAAAAATCAAGGAACAAGTAATTATTTAGTAAATATAAACACAACTTGTTACTTTTTTAAAAAACCAGGGAATCATGCAAGCTTCTTTCTAGAAATCAGAGGCTGAACACATGTGCTGAGGTAAGAGTGTCAAAAACCTGGGCCCTATCTTGAATATTTAGTGACCTAGGTGACCACAGTCACCATTGTACTTCTGGAATTGTGTGGCAACAGTTCTTATACAGCTTACTTACTTATGTCTTCTGTGACTGCCTCAGGAGCATCAAAATGTGGGAAACATTTTAGAAACTCAAATTGTCCCCACCACTGGCCCATGGTACTTCCTCTAAAATCACACACAGAACATGTTCAGAAATGCAATATTTAATGAGCTATTCTAAATGATGAAACAACAGCAATATACATTTTTCCTGGCTATTATCCATATGTCCAGTCTTGATACTACACAATGTTGCAAAACAAGGAACATGAGCACAGAGGTTCTGCTAAGGATAACCCCTTCGTGAATGCAGAAAAATACACGGCCAGTCTGTGGATGACTCCAGTCAGAGGAACTATGAGCACTCACTCTTGAAAAGCTTGAATTCTGTTACCCAGGGGTAGATACCGACAGTGAACAGGCAGGTGAAGGTCTGAGGAAAAATAGTAAAAAAAGACAGTGAAAAAAGAGGATGAGAAAGTTTGTGTCTTGTACACTGAACAGCCTACATTTCACCCTTTCCCTTCCATAGACCAGGAGGTAGTAGAAGGAGACAAGTGTCTTCAGACTGCTCAGTGAACCCTTCAAGAATCTTGACTTGTGTCTTGATCTGAAGCACCATGGAAACCCAAGGGTACTTGATGCAACTTCCCCTCAGTAGAGACCTCTAGAGGAATATCTAGGATGCTCTTGTGTAATTCACATACCTAACAGTAATGGTAGAAAGCATTCTGTCAAGATTACCCACTGTGATAGTTAATTAGTTTTAATTGCCAACCTAATACAATTTAGAATCACCTGGGAAGAACATCTCAGTGAGAGATGACCTAGATCAGGTTGGCCAGTGAGAATGTCAATGGGGAGTTGTCTTGATTATATTAATTATGGAAAGACTCAGCCTATAGTTGGTGGCATCATTTCCTGGTTTTGGAACCTGAAATATATGAGAGTGGGGAAAGTGAGCTAAGTACTAAAAACCTGCATATACTCAGTTTTCTTTATTTCTGACTATGGATTGCAGAGAGAATTTCTTGTGTACTGTATTGATACACCATCTGTCATTAAAAGCGTATAGGAAAGGGTAGACTAGAAAGCAGGATATCCAGTAGGCAGAGAAGATTCTGGGATAGAGCCAGGTGTAGGAGGAGTCTCCTCAGGACATGAAGGAGAATAGATACATGAGAGCTGAGTAGAGGTAACTAGCCACATGGCAGAAATTAGATTAGAATATACAGGGATATTTAGTTGTGATCTAATCAAGGAACCTACCAAAGCTTATGGCCAAGGTTTTTGTAAATATAATTGAGTCTCAGAGTCATTATTCCAGGAGTTTGGAGCCTAGAGGAGAAAATCAGCATCAACAATGGATGTCATATGACTAGCTGCCTTAAAGTCTCTGCTGCCTTGAGGTCTCTGATATGGTGAACATAATTGGAGTTGTGAATAAAATAAACCTTTTCTCCAAAGAGATGCTTTTTTGTCAGGGTATTTTAACAAGGCAAGATAAATGAAACTAGAACCAGCCACCTTTAGATTTAGCCTATCAGATAATGTGTTAGCGAAGCCTCTGAGAAGATGTTCAACTGATGCTAGATGGGGTTGACCTCACAGTCAAGCTTTACCTTGTCCTGATTCCCCAAGAACAAGTGCCCCAAGGCAAGTCGGAGAAGGGATGAGAGTGGGGCTCCTCCTCAACTTTCACTTTCAGACATTGTGTCAGAGTTGGACCCTAAGAGCTACATATTCAGGCAAAAGTTATGTTAGAGCCTACCGGACTTCTTCTGCTGAAGCCAATGGAGGAAAATGAAGATGAGGCAATGGGCAAGCCTTTGTATATCCAGAACACAGGGTCAAAAGAAATACAAGCATTGCAAGGCTGTGGAATCTAGAGAGCAGCTACAGTGAATTAGTGGGTAGTGTTGAGAATTCAGGTTGGTTAGGCTCTGTATGTGCCTCACTAGGATGCCTGTCACCTCCACATTGTGGCTTACAGAGTCCCAAAGAGCTTAGCACCTGCACATCCTCAGGTCTCTAGGCATGGCTCTGTCACTTGTTCTTATACCCCACCCTGTCTCCCTGCAGCACCCACAGCTATAAAAATTAAAAGGGTTGGTGTCCTGCCTTACATTATTCAAAGCATGGCCCTCCTGAAAGGGGCAAATGTCGAGACTCTCCTCAAATTTCTTGCATATAGTTCTACGCAGCTGAAGCCTCATGGAAAACACGGCTGGAAAATCTACCTGTAAACAGAAAAAAATTAAAATTAGTAGACCCACTTGCCATGTAAGGGGCTATGTGACTGCACTCAATTATAGGAAGAGACCCAGAATCTTCTCCGTTTGGAGTTCCTAGAGGCCTGAAGACAGAAGCCAGGGTAATAGTTTCTAGATTAGAGAGCTAAGATTCAAGAGCAGGTACCTGTTAGAAAGCAGAGATGTCAAGATGAGTCCATACTATTATCTCTAGACTTTGTAGCCTCCATTCGATGACAGAAGACCAGACTCTCTGAAAATATCTGACCCTCTATATCTCCATTCCCAGAGTCACAGGACATGTTTTGGGAGGGTGGCTGCTCTACCAGTGTTTGCTGGAGAGTCAGCCCCAATACATGGAGCCATATTTCGAGATACTTTCTCAACTGAACTACAAGTCAAACACTTGCAGTATAAGCACATCCCAGCACAGTGTTTCAAGAGAAGCCTTGTTTGTTTTACAGTGTGTGCTTTAGAAGATCAGTCAGGAGCTGCATGGAGATCTCAGAGACCTCAGCACTGGGCAGGGCTAGAGTCCCTCTGCTTTTTTCTTGCCAGGGAAAGGGGGGATGGAATGCCATTCCCCCACAGCTAAAATTGCAAAGTTGGAGGTGAGCATTACCATCCTGACTCTACTCCACAGGAGCATTATAGAATAACAGACAAGCTCTAATGTGTTGGGTGGGCAGAGTGGGTCAGCCAGGATCCCAAGGCAAAATGGAATTGAGAGGAGGAACTGCCTGGAGCTCTCAAGAGAGTTAGTGGATTTCTCTGTGCTCCATGTGCACCCAACTTTTTTGTTTATCTTTATTCTACTCTCTCAGTTTTTACCAACTATCTTTGGGGAAAAAATGTGTCTTTAATATATTTTTAGCTTTATTTATCAGCATGTTTTATGTAAATCTTCTTCTTACTAGGTTATTTGCTTAGAAGTATCTGTTCTGGGGCCAATGAAATGGTTCATCAGATAAAGGCACTTACCACCAAGCCTGACAGCCTGAACACAATATCCAATATATACATGGTGGAAAGAGATTACTGACTCCCCAGTTTGTTCTCTGACAATCGTGTATGCGCACACACACACACACACACACACACACACACACACACACACACACAGAGACAGAGAGAGAGAGAGAGAGAGAGAGAGAATGAATGAATGAAATATAATTTAAGAATCTTTTGAAAGACATACCCAAGCTAAAATTCTCATTTAAACAGTGTGTCAAATCAAAAATGACATGTGTTTTTTGTATGAAGACAAGAATTTATCTAAAATTTTAAAAGTTTGTAAGGAAAACATATGTTAAACATTGAAACTGACTGAATTAGGTTATGTATAAATTGCAAAAGGTGGACTGCCTTCTCCCATCCTTCACTGACTAGTAGGTACATCCTGACAAGATAGGCAAGGATGTGGTCACTTACCATCTCCCTCCAGGAACTCATGATATGTTTCATCCTGTAGGCATACTCATCCTGACTTTTCTGATTGAATGTGTTGACAGCAAATTCCACTGTGGGAATGAAATTAGTAGATCTGTCTGTTTCTTCATTGGCCTTCAAGACAGGGATGTTGAGAACCTGAAAGCTCAGCAAAAATAGCAGCATGGTCTGAGGCAGAGAATTCTTTCCCAGTGGACAGGACATGGCGCCAGAATTCCACATCCTCGGCTTTGTCTGTCTTAGCCTGTCAGTCCCACGGGAGTCTATCAGGCAGAACTCCAACCCATAATCTCTTCAGCTTGGGCACAGACTCCTCCTAAGTTATCACATGCACATGCACACACAAACACCCACACATCATCTTTCATTGCTGTCCAAGCATTTTCTAAATGTCCCTAAGGAAAAGGCAGCAAAGTCAACATCTTCAACCATAGTAACGGTGCCTGGTCATGCTCTCAGAGAGCATCTGAGAAAGACAAAGGGAGACTGTGAAATTAAGAGAAATACTCAGGAAGTTATGATACTTTACAGTATACTGCATGCCTATAATCCCAGAATTGGGGAAGAAGAGACATAAGAATTATGAGTTCATGGCTACCCTTGACTATGTCCTGAGACTCTGTTTTCAAAAAAAAAGAAAAATCAACCAAATCACAAATGGAGATAGAGAGAGAAGTTACCATAGTTATCATCCATATGCACCTGCCACTGAGTCAGAATATAAAACAGAACCTGTAACTATGCTACAAGAACATAGCAAGCCTCAGCCATGTTAGGAGAATCTAAGACATCCTTAATTTCAAAACGCAAAGTTAGAAGACCAAGTAGGACAGAAACCAGAGAGATCAGGCAGATGCAGTCAGCCAACTTGTTTAAGTGATTTTACAGACTGTAAATTACCCCACCCAATGCAAGTATAAAGTACTTTCTACCTCTTTGAAAATAATATAAAACTTATAAGCTTCATGCTCTCTATGTCCCATCTCTCACTCTCTTCTGCTTTAGGGCAGGACTTGGAAGAAGGAAGTCCCATAGTTGTACACAGAGCAGCTCTGAACAGACCACCAAGGAAGGCTACCTGGGTTGAGCTATATGTACATGAATGCAAGAAAACCTTCCTACACTCAATCCTGTGGGAGGGTTTATTTCTTATTCCAGCATAATCAATTTTATCCCAAGAGGGAACTCTAACTTGAGTAGGCAACTAGTCCAAAGAGTAGAGAACTGCCCTATTCACATACATGAACCTGTGTGAACTTCTTAGGCCAAGACAAAGGACAAGGATAGGAGGCTACTCACTGGCTCAGACTAATGAGCATCTGGTTAGAAATAGAAACACTTATCATAAATCCAGCTGTAAGGAAGGGGATTACACAGAAGCCAACAACCACCACCACCCCTAGACTCCCAAGCCTAGCAGAACAAGATGATATAGGCCTCAGAACCAAGACAGGATGAAATTCATTGTATTCAAGGAGCCTGTAACTCCACTGTGGCTGTGCTTAGGACCTGGGGCTAAGATCTGGGACTAAGTACAGGACCCTTTGAGGTGTCCCTGGAAACATCCTCAGGGATTGTGACTCATCCCAGATCCTGGGCCCTTGATTGTCCATGAAGTCCCTTCCTCCTTTATGGAGTTCAAATTGCATGCACAATGCTGCCAGTTTTAGCTCTGATTCCCTAAATCCTTCATACAAAGAGGTCATAGATTAACATTCTTTAGCTTCTGTTCCATACTTAATATCTAACATCAAGTCCAATAGCAATTGATCAATTAGGTCCCTTCATTGTGTCTGTCTTAATGCTGTCATTATCCCTGCAACTAGTGTCTCTGTATACCCACCTCTGCCCCCCACCCCCACAGGCTGAATGTACCAGCTCATGTCTCTGCTTTTAGGCCCTTATTTGGCATAAGTCATTCAGACCCAGGGTCCAAGCACCTGCTGATGTCATAGTACCACATGCTGCCATGCTCTGTTTTCTCTCTATAGGCAGAGGCTCAACTGAACACTCAGGACCATCCTGGAAGGGCCTTGCATTTTTATCTGCATCCTCTTGTTTCCCCGGCCTTGCTCTCTGTTCCCTAGTCTGTACTTTTTTTCCTCTGTCACTTTGGTTTCTGTCCCTTGAGCTTTGTTCTGGCCTCCAATTTTTTCCCTTCTTTTCGCTTTCAGTTTTCTCTCGGTGGTGATTTCTTCACTAGTGAACTCTCATATCCCTCGATAACATCTTGTTTAATATAAACTCTTCTGTCTTCATACTCGTTTATGTTGAGTGGTCCCATGCTATGGTTACACACAACCATAGCCTGTCTCCTTCCTGGAGGTAGAACCCATTTTTTTCTTTGCTTTGCCCTGGCTGTGTATGATTCCCATATTCTGTTTTTTAACTATCAGACACTGTCAACTATGTGACAAGAGCCATTGTCAGCCACTGTCTGTGATGTGAATGTGGTCTACTGAACCACCGTCCTCCTTTGTTTACACTTTGCTGATAGCTACTTTCAAAACACAAGAGTAGCACTGAGTTATTGGGAAAGAGATCTCATGCCCCCCTCCCCCAACATCCAAATAGTTATCTCTTTTGTTTTCCTTTGGAAATAATATGCCAAATACTAGTTCAGAATGCCCAGTTATGGTCTTTGTAGCCTCTAATGTATCAGCATACCTCAGTGATTCACAGTAGCTCCATCCTCTAGAGATCTGTGGGCATGAGCATGCAGGCTCTTTTACGAACCTTGGTCTCCACAGAAAGCAGATCCGGGAACACCTTCACTCAGAAGTGAGAAGTGCTCCATTGTTCAAAATAAGAACCATGGTCTTTCTTCTCTAGCACCTCAGCAGTTATACTTGTCCTATGATAATAAAAAACTAAATGACCAAAACCAGCAAATTCCCCAGTCTTGATACTCTACAGTGGGGGACATGCAAGAAAGACAGAGCTCCAAGTTCTGAGGCTTAGGCAGAACATTCCCTGGCCAACCTGAAAAAAGTGTTAAGGGAAGGGGAAAAGCTTTTTAGAGAGCTGGCAAACTGAAAAGATGGAGCCTGTGGCCAACAAAGACCACTTGTCTGGAAATTGTGGGTACAATATTTGCATAGGAAGTCAGCAAAATTGGCTCAGCAGGTAAACACTCTTGCTGCCAACCCCGAGGTCCCAAGTTCGATTCCTGTGGTGGAAGGACAAGCAAATTCCCTCCAAGTTGTCCTCTGAGGCATATCAAAGTGTTCATGCTCATGCATGGGTCTTGTACACATAGTAAATAGACAGAGAGTCAAGGAGTCCAAAACAATATACAGGGAGTCTAAAAGGTGTGTCAGAGAGGCTGCCTGGCAGCAGGGTGGCTAGAAACTTCTGGAGTTCCTATCTACTGTCTGTTACCAAGCCAGAGCTGCTATCTCTAGGATGTTCTGAGTTCTGTGAAACTGAAGGGGGAAAAAAGGCCGATTAGAAAGTCTCAAGTCCTCAAATTTTTAGTTCCTTTCCCAGGAATGGCTGACTCTGTGGTTAATTGTTAGGAAAGAAAAGGCCTCTTTTCTGTGGAGAAGAGGGAAGACAGCAAAGGAATACTTTCCCAGGAGATAGATAATGAAAAGCTACTTTTCCAAGGTGGACAGGAAGATAGAAGCAACTTTCCCAAGGGCATAACAGAAAACACTCTCTGCAGAAGAGTTTTCAGTTCTTGGGTAGCTTCAGGTCAAATGTATCTTTTCCAATAAAGCCTGCTGGAAACCTACAATATATAACACAGCCAAATGGCCTTCAGAATGATTAACTTTTAAAGTCAGCTGAAAGCATGTAGCCCAGAGGGTTCGCTCATCTCTCCTTGTTAGCAACCTTCTAGCACAGAACTGTCCTTTAAAGGTTCAGAACCCATTCTATCTCCATTCTCCCACATCCACATACATATTTACCCAAGACTTAGAACAACACTTAGGTCAAATTTAAAGAGCTATCTGAATGACACTCCCCTAGAGATGATAAGTATTTCAACCCAATGACATGAAACAGAATTCCTCTACAGTCCCGTGATCCTCATGATTACAAACAAGATGATCTTTTCAACAGGTCATAGCAAGACATTTTTGCCTCTCACATATGACATTAGTTAATTTGAAATCAGTGCTCTGAAAATAACTCATCTTTCAAAATAGGCCATTTATGTTAATGCCATTAAGAATGGGCATTGAGGGACTGGGGACATGACTCAGTTGGTGAGTGGCTTCCCTTGAAAGCTTGAGGATCCATGTTTGTATCCCCAGCCAGGCATGGTGGCACATGCCTATGATCCTATCCATGGAAAGACAGAGACAGGAAGATTCCTGAAGCTCACTAGCCAGCAATGTGTTGGCAAATTTGTGAGCTCTGGGTTCAGTAAGAAACCTTGTCTCAAAAAACAAGGTGGAGTATGATAGAAGACAATCCACAGCAACCTCTGGCTTCCTTAGGCATGTATACATATAGGAGTATCACAAAACAAGACATACATGTGCATATACCACATATCATCCTTCATATATACAAATAGGAATTCATGTCAAGTTAGAACACAAGTGGGTAATGGAACTGTAAAAGCACTGAGTTTGGCTGACCCAAATACAGTGTACCATCTGATGGAGATGGTGTGTTGTAGCTCAGGGGAAAAAATAGATGAGAGAACTTGAACTGAGAGACAGGGCTTCATTTTCTGGGACTGAGGTCACTACTATGCAAAACCGAGTAATACACTGAAGATTGTCAGGTATGTGTGCTTCCCTTCTGTGAGGGTCAAAGCTCATTCCTCCTCCAGCACTATTTCCATGGCCCTGTGCATACAACTTAGGGAGAAGCACTACAACCCTGTGGGCCCTGCAGGTTGGATTCAATAGAATGAGCTTTCCCCACAGATAATTATGGATGATGCTGCAATAATTTTCCCAAAGGCCTGTGACTGCCTCTCTGAAGAGATTAACCCTAGTCTCCCTCAATGCTCTATCGTATCAGTACATGTACCCCAGATAATATGAAAGCCAGCAGGAACATCAGCCAAAGATTTGAGATGCCAAGCCCTGTGTCCCCTGCTCAGTGGGGAAACCCACCAGATGTCTATGTATATGCTCACAGATATAAAAATTTGCACAAACCTCTGACAATGGGCAAAAAAAAAAAAAAAACACCTTGTTGGTGGTGTTGTTCTGTTATCAGTCAGGGACAGCACATATGGCTGTCCTTTGTTGATCCTAGCTGGATACTTGCCTGGCTTGGTGACCAAAGCTGTTTTAAGCCTAGGACACATAAAAATCAAATCAAATCCAGGCAGCACATCTCAGGGAGAGGAAGACAGACCATGGATGCACAGAGCCTTGCCTACCAACACACTCAGCACAGTGTCAGAGCTGGAAGACAGAGATCTGTGGACCACCTTCCCTCCACAGACCTGCCTTCTGGTACACTATAGACACCCAGTTGCCAGAGAAGAGTGTCACTCAGAGGCCCACAAGCCTGGCAGCCCATGTGGTCAGCCGACAGCCACCACAATGTGTATGTGGTGGACAGATGGGAAAGAAAGAGAAATGGAGCAGCTTGAGCATTATCGAGAGAGATGGAACTGGAGACTCAAGAGTGGAGAGGAGTGGCCTGTTGTGAGTGATCATCTCTGACACCTGGGCCCTTGCTGAGCTCCCAGCCCAAGATACTGCTGAGGGCTATGTCTGGGTCCTTGACTATGTAGCAGGAGAAGTCTATGTCAATGTCTCTGGCTCATATTATCACTAGGGAACACGAGAATATACCTGATTGAGGGAGCCATAGGGGACCACATGTATGTCCAAGGCTGGTGCACAATTAGCCTCACCCCTCACTGGCTGTGGTGCTCTGGAGAGCTGGCCCCATCTCTTACAAATGATAGCACTCAAGAGAGTGGGCCCTGAGCAACACAGTGAAGCTGGCCCTGATGATGAAGGCACTGGTGAGTCTTTGCTAAGGGTGTGAGAATGGGAAGAGTTGGCCCAGCCCCTCAAAGGCTGCAGCGCTTGAGAAAGGACTCAAGCCTTCAGTGGACAGCACAATGGAGCTAGCTCTGGAAGCATGGCTGAGGGTGAGCTGGCCCTGAGAGCATGAGTGTAGAAGAACTGACCCTGCCTCCTGCCAATGATGCCACTGGGTGGCTTAGCCAAACAGTGCTGGATAGCTCACACCGCTGGCTCAGATAAGAGAAAGCCACCATGCAACCAGCCCAGGATTGAGGGCTCTGAATTGACCTACCCCCAAATCAATATCATCTGCAAATGGTTGGGACATGTGAAAGGACTAGTCCTGCTGATCCAAAGCTGCAGGATCTTCATGACACAGAACAACATCAGGATAACCTGAAGGAGTCCTAGTGAGAATCTTATATTGATGGTGTCACAGAAGCCAAAGATCTGGAAGGAATCAGTGCAATGACTCATGTGATGAACATTTGCAAGTGAAGATACTGGAATGTGTCACAGTGTGCACACTGTGACATACTACAGCTTCCATAATGAGATGTTTTGTATGCTTTCTTTTTTTGTTTCTGTGTGTTTATTTGGGGGGCAGGTTGCAAGGGTGAAGGGTGAATATGAAGGGACGGGGAGGTGAGTGGTACTGGGGTGCATGATGTGAAACTCACAATGAATCAATAATTTTTTTTTTTTTTTACAAAGGATATGCTGTGGGACATACTGTCACACTCTACAGTTTCCACAATGGATAGTTTTCTTTTGAAGGAGAGGTTACAAGGGCAGAGGGTGGTGATGAAGGGATGGGAAGATGAGTGGGATTAAGGTGCCTGATGTGAAATTCACAAAGAATCAATGTAAAGATAGAGGGGAGGGAAGCAAAACAAAAGAAAATGTGCACAGCAGTTGGAAGGAGGTGAGACCATGAAGAAGTGATAAGGAGCGGTAGAGACAGCCTGATCTCAGGGCAGGGAGCCTAATTCTACAAGAATTCCTCTGCTAAAATCTCAAACCCTGTTCCCAACCACCACAGAACGGGGTCCAGGAAACGTGCCATTACATTTAACCCTTCAGCACAGCCAAGCACCAGGTCAAAGGAGGCAAAGGTGAATTATGTCTGCTGTCTGACCCCATAGCAGGATTCCATGGTGGTAACCTCACTCATCTCACACAGAAGACAGGCAATTTTAGCGGATGCTGCTCACCAGGAGCTATGTGTCACCTTAATTGTCTCTCTAAGCTACAGAAAGACATTGGAGGCAACAAGGGCTATCTGCACCTGTAGATCTAAACCGGTCATCGTCACAAATGAATTGCAAGCCTACTGTGCTGTGAGTTATATAACTGGTCTTCTGGTTGACCAGTCTGCCCAAAGCTGCCCAAGAACACACCACTCAATCAGAAAACCATTGGAGAATTCTTTGTAAATATTACCAGATTGTGACTTAAACCACTCAGGACCGAACAGAACTTGGAGGCTAGAGGCACTATAACGCAAAACAGCAACTGTCTTTCTCCATCTTCCCAAACCCTCATTTAAGATAATAAAGCCTACTCTAGAGGATTCCTTAGCCTGGTGTGAGCTAAGTAGGAACTGTCTTTCTCAGGTGAAGCAACCAGAAACTTAAATGAAGACATGAATGATAGCCAAGGTGATAATGCAACTGGCTGGTGCTTTGCTAGTGCTTTGCTAATTCCATGAATACTATGTGAACTTCATGAGTGAAGAAGGGACTCCACAGAGCCACTGTGGACGGTGGAAGTCATTTGTGCCTGGAGATTTGTTAGGCTAGAGGTAATATCCATTTATTGCCTGCAGATTCCCTTTCCTCAGCAATGATGGAACCACCTAGAGAAGGCTACCCAGCCCCAGAAAATAATATCTCACCTCTCAGCACTAGTCCTTGTTGCCTACACACACACACACACACACACACACACACACACACACACTTAATAAAGTCAGCACGTCAACTGTGGTGGTCCATTATCTTACAAGCATCTTTATGCATTTAAAAGAAAAGTGAGAGTGGTAAGGCATGCTGGATGCTTATTAGATATCTTTGCATTGTTTCTTCAGCATTTTGAGTTCAAACTTCCATGGTTTGGAGCTAACAATAAAAATGCAAAACACCATCTGAAAGAGACATAAAGGACAGTTACTTGGGGAACTGTGGAGAAGGCATAGCAAAGTGCCTAAATTTGGATCCCCAGCACCCATGTAAAAAAGCTAGACATAGTTGCACATCTATAATCCAAGCACAGCAAGAGCAGAGACAGGCAGATCCTGGAGTTCCAGTGGCCAGCCAGTGTACTAATCAATGAGTTCAATGTTAGAACTTATCTCAAAAGATAGGGTAAAGAATGATATTCATGTACACTTGTCCACAAAAAATATATATTACACACATGCACACATGGGTACACAGACACACAGGCACACACAAGCGCAAACACACACACACACATGAGAGAGAGAGAGAGAGAGAGAGAGAGAGAGAGAGAGAGAGAATTTTTAGTTTGAAAGAAAAAGGGAAAATCCCACAACTCCCTACTTCCATGTCCCAGGATTTGACTTACAAGAACTAAGGGAGTGAGTCAACTATACCTACTGCAGTACATGTATGGCCAACCTTGAACCTTCAGGCAGAGGAGCCAGCCTTCCTTACAGAATCAGTCTGAATCCAGAAACTGATCAATCTGACAAATCCGCTTCCCTCTACAGCCCACTTTCCTATGATCCATAAAGACCATCTGCTCTGCCTGGGTCCCTATTGATCCTGCCCCATGGAATCAATAAAATAAGACTAGCACAGAACCCTGTGCTTCTCAGAAGAAGTAAAAAATCTGTCCAGACACCAAGCAGAACAGCCTTCAGGTGGAAAATCACACTGAGATGTGTGACCTGGTCTCAGAATCTTGAAGGAGTAGGGCTCCAGGCTCATGGTGGGCAATGGGCACTTTTGTTTTTCTACTCTCTGTTCTAAAAATTCATATTAATGTAGAATAAAATGTAAAGCTGAAATACTTCTATAATATTGATATGACATGAACGACAGCCTCAAGCAAAGGAGACAAAGAAATTGCACCGAAATATGCACAGTGCACAGCAGTTTAAAAAGCAAGAAAAAGGAAAGTTCCAATTTACATGAAGCTTCAACAAGGTCATCTTGACACAAATGTTACCCAAGGCTAATCCTGGAAGGAAGAACTGGACATTCATCAAAGGTTCCAGGAGAATGTAACGCCACTTCTATCTCTAATGTATTTCATGAGAATATGGTTTTAGAAAACAATGACAGGGTTGGAGATTTAGCTCAGTGGTAGAGCACTTGCCTAGCAAGTGCAAGACCCTGGGTTCAGTCCTCAGCTCTGAAAAAAAGAGAAAAGATTAATATACACGTATAGAACATAATTCCTTTACACAGCATAAGTTGAAATATAAAATGTCTTTGGTTATTAGACATTAGTGCTGATCCCATTGTGACAGACTGGCCCCTATGAACTCATCTGGGAACAAGGCCTGGTAACACTAGTGCATAACTATCATTACCTTCATCCATGACGAGACAGAAGACTGAACATGGGGTAGTATGTTGGACATGGAGACTCATTCAGACAGACAGCCCCACAGACTCCCAGGGCTTCCATACAACAGCAGACTTAATAGAATCAGATAAAATGATTTCTTCCTGACATTCCCTGAATCAAGAATGTCTATGAGATGGTCAGGACCTGCCCTTCACTGGCTCAGTACATAGCACTCGGAGTAGGGTATCTACCAAGATGGCCACTACCCAGGGCTAATATAGCAGGGTCTACTTATCTCTTCTTTAAGATGGTAGTGTTGCAGAGATGTCTCAGTGAATAAAGTGCTTGCTGAATAAGCATGAAAATCTAAATTTAGATCTCTAGCACCCATGGAAAACAGCATCATAAAGCTATGACCTCAGCACTGTGTGAGAACATAGACACACTGATCCTGGGGGCTTCCTAGCCAGCCCATCTAGTCCAAATGGCAAAACCCATCTTCAGCGAAAGACAATGTCTCCAAAAAGTAAAATAAAGAACAGTAGAGGAAGACACCCAGCATTAAACTCTGGCATGCACAAGTATATGCACATGCACACACACACATACACACACACACATGTACATACACACACAGAGAGAGAAATGATGATGATGATGATGATGATGATGATGATGATAGAAATTAAAGTGGTAGATTGCCTTAGGATCATCTCTTTATGAGAAAGTTAATGAATATAGAATGGTGAATATATATTAGTTTGGCTGAGATGGCGCTTGTTTTAGCAAGGACAGATTCATATGCCAGGACACCTCTTACTCCTGGAAAAAGAACAGGACAGATTTTTGCTCTATGACTTTGTGACAGAGGAGCCCCAAAGAGAAGAAATGTAGTTTGAGTAGCTCCAGCTTTATCAGCCAATCCTCTGTTTAGTACTACATGTGTGAATGTGACTAACCCACTTGTCTGGAACATTCCTGCCAGTACATACCATAGGAGCAGAATGGCTGCCCAGAAGAACCCTGTCCAGAATGCAAAATAGCAATGTATAATGAACTGGCTTTGATTTAAGCCTACTTTTATGTGTCATGTATACATATCTCTATGTGCACTTATGCCTGTGTCTCTCTGGGTAAGTGTACATATATGTATGTATACATCTTATAGAATGGGGTAGGATGATATCAGTGATAGATAATAGAAACATCTCAGGTTTTCAGTCTGGCTGCTACCACAGTCTCAAATGAACAAAGCTTAAATAAGAAACTAGCAAATTTGTCGTAAGTGTCCGATTAATGTTCTCTATCACGTAGGTGGGACCAGGGTAATTTTCTCTATGTCAACCACATACCTTTTTCATTTTAGGATCATGTTGAAACAAGCAGTTTTCATCATTTCCTGCAATTTTCTTGCACATTGTTCGGGCAATGTTTACTTCAAGATAATACTCCAGACTATCTGTAATCTGTCAACAAGTCATGTAAGTTAAATCTCATAGAAGAAAACAGGACCAAGTATCTCCTCTGAGGAGCCAATATGCCATTGGTTATTTAGGGCTAGAAAATATTCCTGCTCTTCCTCAGTGCTACACCTCCTGGCAGAAGTTTTGAGATTATTTGAGAGAATTCTTAACTTGACATCTGTCTATCTTCTCTCTCACAAGTGTTTCATTTTTATTTATTGACATCATTATTGTTACTATGTGTATATATGTATATGTTATATGTATGTATTCATGTGGGTTGGTTCATATGTACATGTGAACATGCACTGAAAAGCCACAAGTCAGTCAATGTCAGTGTCTTCTTGGGTCACTCTTGCAGAACCTGGAGCTCATTGATTTTGCTAAGCTATGTGGCAAAGAAGCTCAGGGATCTTCTTATGCCTGCCCACTGCCCCAAGTGCTGGGGTTGCAGATATGCACTGCAATTCCTAACATTTGAATAGATTCTGTAACCCAAACTCAGGCCCCCATGTATTTGCAGCCACCACTTTACTGACTGAGTCATCTCCCTAACTCCTGGATTTTTAATTTTGTAGTAATAACAAGTATCCCCAGAACAAAACAAGGAAATTACATACAAAGAGCATTCTCCAATGAAAATTAACCATTTATTTATTGGAGCTTGGGGTTAGGTCACCTGTGAAGAGAAGGTATTTAATTTTTGAGGTTTCTAAAGACTCCACATTCACAGATCAGGGAGCTTAGCAGGATTCTTCTAACTATATCCTACCATAGTGGAGTTCAGAAGGACAAGAGGAAGCACACACACACACACACACACACACACACAAAAGCAGGAGACCAAGTGTTCAGCCTCAAGACCTTTAAGAACAAACCAGTGTCTGAGGGAATTGCCTGCTAGCTTAGCAAAATCAATGCGTTCCAAGTTTGGGAAGAGTGATCAATGAAAACAGCAACATTGACCTGTAGCTGCCCAATAAGCACTCACACAGGCACCCACATGCACAGAACAACAACAATAAGAATAACGTCAGAGAGAGAAGTCAGTCAAATATCAAACATAAAAATTCTCTTTGTAGCATAAAATTCTCCCTTAGGGCCACGTCTTCATACTCTCACATAAGGGATTAAATTTCCAAAGCATGTTTTTAGGAGGACATATTCAAATGATAGCACTTGTCTTTCTCAGAGGCAACTATGAGAGAGCCGAGGAACTGACAGACGAAGGGAGAGAATAAAGAATTCTACAATTGTTGAGGGCACAGAAGGCCCTTCTACCCACAGAGAAGCACTCAGAGACCTAGGAATATTAGTTATGCAGGGGTGTCCCCTCAATGAAGTAGATAAAAATCAAATGTCTGCATTCCATCCAGAAAGCTGAGAGTGGATTTTGTTAATTATCCAGTGACCATTTTGCTATCTATGGAGAAAGAGCTCACCCACATTTTACTTCAGAGGAAGATCTCACCCAAATTCCCCAGAATGATTATTCCAGACTTTCCCCCGCTTTAGGGGAGATGTCACATATACTTTATGGCCTGCTTACCTCGATGCTATCATTCAAAGACCACACTAGATTTTAGGCCTTAAAACATGAAACCCATGCTCAGGATCAAAAGTACTTTGTAAAAATTTATTTGCAGTCACAGCTTAAGCTTTATTGTGCACCTGGAATTGAATTGATTGTTGCCTGGAAACCTTTTCCCAATTTGTACTGTGTTTTAAATATACTGATAATGAACTTCCTGATATTAGATTACCCAAAGTCTGTTCCAGGTTGGTGAAGTAGATGTGCACACAATTTCATCCTTATTTCCTCAAGGGCTTACTTCCCTGTCTGGATAGCTGCAGGAAGCCTCTCAAACAATGACTTCCACCATGACTGAAGGCTTCAGCCTCTGTTGTACTCATCTTTCAAAAGTCTAGAGTTCTGGTAATTGTTTTGTACTTTTAAAAGTGTAGACATACCTAGTGTTCATTTGATCAATAAATTCATGATAGGTGGAGGAAGGATTCTCAAGCCAGACACAAAATCCAAACAACATACAAAAAGAAAAGGCTAAGTGCTGTATGTTTTCAAAAGTCTACAGACTGTATAAGCAAAATTAAACTGCAAACAATACAAGTGCAGCCATATACATACATGTATATGTGGGTATATGGCACATTTTTTCATGGTATTAGAAAATACAAAAGGATATATTTTCATATCCATCAAACAGACAAACATCTAAAAGACAAGATAGTTCCAATATTGATATGATGAATGGCAAGAGTCATTCCGGCAGCACTGGTAGGAGCCTGAATTTATTTTAGTCCACAGCCTAACTGAGGCCCTGTGTTCAATGTCTAGCATGACAAATAAAATTTAAAAAGAATAGATTGAATAGTAGCATTCAGAGGCAATTTGCTATTATTTACAAATACATTCTCTAACCAAAGAATTTAAACTCATAGTATTGACTATGATGAATGCAATGGCATCTTCACTGTTCTATGCTTTCTATTAACAAACCTACTGATCTGCTAGGCTATAAAGCAAAAAAAATAATCATGGCAAATCAGTTTTCATATTCATATATATATATGAAATGTATATATTCACACAAAGTACAGCATATGTGTGTATGTGTGTGAATTTCTGTGACATTATGAGTGCCAAAACAAACAAAATACAGCATGATTTCATGAATACAAAATAAGTTTAATTGGACCAGTGAGATAGCTCTATGAATAAAACCACCTACCACCAAGCTTGAAAACCTGCGTTTGATTCTCAGAATCTACATGGTGGAAGAAGAGGACTGACTCAGACATTGTTCTCTTTCCTCCATCCCCCCACCCTTCACCCTATCTCATATCTCTCTTTCTACCTCACATACAGAGAGGGGTGGAGAGAGATAAAGGGAGGGAGAGAGGGAGAGGGAGAGGGAGAGGGAGAGGGAGAGGGAGAGAGAGAGAGAGAGAGAGAGAGAGAGAGAGAGAGAGAGAATTTTGAATCTTTCCATAATCTATGTATATGGAAAAAATATCTGGAAGGAGAGGGCAAACTACTTTAGTGGTACTCTCAGAAGTAAGCAGACAAATTGGAAATTCAAGAAACAGTTTTCTCTCATTTTTATTGTGTGTGTATCTGCATAAGTGTGGGTATGATACTATGTATTTGTGGATATGTTACTATGTTTTCTATTGTGTATCGCTTTCACACCACCATAAATTAAGAAATCATAAATTAAATTATAATAATTTAGGGAACATCTGTGCTTCTAAGTTAAAATAATTGCAAGCAGTGTCAATTCACTCAGCCACCAACCAATCATGAGCCTAATGTATATTCCCAATTGTTCAGCAAACAAGAGACAAGGGGCTTCTTACATGCTGGTGCAGCTCCCCACTGCTTTTCCAGACTCCTCTGACTTTGGACCTTTCAGGTACCTCATTTTTCCCTTTTGCTGGACTCTTCTCCACTATGGAGCATGAACCAGAACTTGCTCACCCTATCCAGTCACTCAGAGTCATATCCTGATTACAATCACAATGATCTAGGTTTATGTCTTGACTCCCTTACTTATCAGCTATACAACATTGTATTCTTTCCATTCCTCAGTTTCCTCTCTATAGCACAGAATAGCTCCTACCTAGAACTGTGCAAGCTGAATGAATGAGCCATGAAAAAAAGGCCATTCAACATGAAGCAAATGTTCTAGTTGAGCCAAAGTAGTTCCAGGCTTCTGTACAAGCTTGTGTGTATTGGCCCTCAACACTGCACAAAACCTATAGATACTCTTTCTGAGCTCTGAACTATGCTTTAAATTTTTTTATCTTTATTTTCTGTGTACAATTGTTTAGCTTATATGCATATAGGTGTACCATGTACATGCCTGGGGACTTCAGAAGCCAGAAAGAGGTGTCAGATCCCCTAGAACTGGAATTACAAAGAGTTGTGAGCCACCATATATGGATGATGGTAACCAATTCTGGGCTATCTGCAAGAGCAGAAAGTGCTCTTAACCACTGGGCCATCTCTCCAGCCCCTGACCTAGAGTTTTAGTGTTACTATAACCAATTTTAATTGATATTTGAAGATTCTTCTACATTTCAGACTAATAAATAGCAAAATCCAATTAATTTTCACTTCTAAAATGAAATAGTGTGTGATAGATAAAGGCATCCTATATCCTTGTTTCCATTCCTATGTAGTAACTATCCCTCAACACTAGTCTCTGCCCCCAACAGAAAGCTAGAGGATAAAGGAGCAAGGAACAGACAGCATACCCACCTGCTCCTGAGATTTTAGGATATCCACCACCCTGAAGTTGTATTGGTCATTGCTGGCCTTGTTATACTCTTTCATGGCATACCAGAGTGCATGCTGCACATAGACATAGGATTTGGGGATGTCTTCGAATGGCCTCACAATCTTTGGTGAGCCCCAGGCTTGAACTCTTCTAGATACAAACTGCATTGTGATCACCAGGAACAGCACGGTCTGTAAGAATCTGGCCATGGAGCTTCAATCAAGGAATGTACCAAGATCCTTTTTTCTTTCTAGAGCTGGTGTAGATGTAGCCAGCAAGGCCCCTGCTTCCTCTGCAGGTCAATGGATCCTTTCTCTTCAACTCCTAATACTGCTGTGGGTTACAAGGAAGAAATGTCTGTTGACATCATTATGATATCGTACTATATTGAGAAAGGCATATTTGATTTTCATCCCCATTTCTGCAATTAGAACCCTAGGTATCCCTGAGTGATAACATGAGAAAAGAGTATCTATACATTCCATGGCAAGCCCTTCTCAGGCATGCATAAGATACTCTAAGTGAGCCCTGTGGCAACAAAAAGATCAGCTCATTGTCAGAAGAACCAAGTAAGTTGGACCTTGCAGTTCATCTTTGACCTTGAGGGGATGAAGGCTGAATTAATCAGCAGTAGTTAATGATTTTATCAATTGTGTGCCTGTCTCAACTCATTAGGGAAGCTTCCAGATTGGTGAAGACATGGGGCAGGGATGTGGATGAATGAAACCCCAAGTACCATTCTTTTTTGCTGTGCACAACTCTTCATTGAGCTGTTCATCTGTTCCTTAACAATTATCCATGCCTAACAATTATCAAATTCACAGGGGAGAATTTGATTGCAACTAAATTAAGGTGTGGAATCTTTACCCGGTAGACAGGTTGTGATTCGCTCATCTTTGAGTGGATCAGTACCCTTTATTGCTGGAGCAGGTTAGTTTTTCTCAGGAGTGACTTTGTGTACCTTTGTGTCACTTGCTCCTCCAACATGCTATGATACAGTGCAAATACCCTCACCAGACATGGTCCCTCAAATGTGTACTTCAAACCACAAACCTCAGATCCTCCTTAATCTCTATTGTTTTCAATTTATGCTATCCGGCCATAACAAAAAATGGGTTAAGATACCCAAACCGGCAGAGGTTGTGGGGACCTTCCTTTCATAGCCAAGTTTAAAAAAAAAAAATGTGAGCTACCCCAGGAACCTTCCACTTGTGATTGACATCTATGAAAGCAAGTCATTTTTCTGTTGTCTTAGGCTGGTACCAGGTAATGTTGCAATTTAACTGAATCACTGGGTGTTTATTTGATGCTAGAAGGAATTAGAATATTTCTTGGAGATCTCACACATGGGGTTCTAGGGGTAATTTGTTAATTAAACGAAAGAATCTGGCTCATCCCAGAGATGTCCCCCATCAACTTCCCTGGAGACCTGGGATGGGGGAGTTTTGAGGAGTCTATGAAAGTGACCCTAGCTGAGATTCCTACAAGTGGGGCACATAGAGACTGAAGTGGCCACCTCTTGTAGCAAGGCAGGACTTCCAGTGGAAAGAAGGGGCATTAGCACACCCACAAAACCTTCAACCGAAAATCTGTCCTGCATACAAGATGTGTAGGGATAAAGAAGGAGCACAGACTGAGGGAATGGTCAAACTATGACTGGCCCAACTTGGACTCATCCCATGGGAGAGAGCCAACCCCTGACTCTATTAATAATACTCTGCTATGCTTGCAGATGGGAACCAGCATAACTGTCTTCTGAAAAACTTCATTTAGCAGCTAATTGAAATAGATGCAAAGACCTATAGGAAAACATCAGGCCAAGTCTTGTGGAAGATGGAGGACAGAATTTGGGAAGCTGGAGAGGGGGGTCAAGGGCACCACAAGAAGACCTACAGTGTCAGCTAACCTAGGCCCATGAGGGCTCACAGAGACTGAACCACCAATCAAAGAACATGCAGTGGCTGGACGTAGGCCCTCCACACATTAGTAGCATGTGCAGTTTGGTCTTCATGTGGGTCCCCTAACAATTGGAGTGGGGGCTATCTTTCACTCTGTTGCCTGCCATTGGATCCCCTTCCCCTATCTGTACTTCATGATTGGGCCTCAGTGGGAGGAGAGGTGTTTAGTCTTGCTGGGACCAAATAACCCAGGGTGATAATCAAGGGTAGCTTCCCCTCCTCTGAGGAAAAGGGGAGGAGGTAGTTGGGGGAGGGTTTTGTAAGGGCAGGGCTGGGAGAATAGGACTGGGAGAAGAAACTGGGGTGTAATGTGAATAAAATAATATTATGAAAAAGTACACACTGCAACCAGAATCTTATCATTTCTCTCTCTCTCCTTCTCCAAAGAAAGTTAATAAAAACTTTACTATTATAATTCAACCCATTTCCCCATGTCAATTATTTGTTTTCTGGGAAATTTTAAACTTCTATGTTCTTGCCCACTCCCAACCCCCATGCTCCCCAACCCCTATCCCCCCTCCTTTTTTGGTGGAGTAAATTTCCTTGTTCTCAAGGTCACAATGAAAAAAGAAGTCTGATCCTTATGCACTGACATCATGAAACACACTTTCTCAGCAAGAATATTGTTTCAAATTTTTTCATTTTTCAGGCACAGATATGGCAACCCCCACCTGAGATTTCACACAGCTTCAAGAACTGCATCTTTAGAGTCTTCCTCATTGCCTTGATGGCTTATTAGAACTCAGATCTCACTCTCCTGAGGCTCATCAGGCCCTGAGCCTCTTATGTTATTTATTCACTGTCATCTTCCCTGGGTGCAGTATACTGAGTAACCCCTTTACAAAAGAGAAAATGAGGCTTATTAAGAAGCCAAGAAAATGCATAAGGCTACTTGATGGAGGCTTCCAGGTCTAACCACTACTGGTCCCACATTGTTAACCTACCTCAATCTAGGAGACATGCACACATTAAGTCTCAGCCAGGAATACACATTTGTTTTGAAGGATATCCAATTTTTACCAGAGAAGAGAAACCAAGTTAAAATTTCTAAGATCTGGACACGCTAGTTAAAGCATGTAGAGTATAGACCACGAGCAAACAAATACCTTAAGAGACACTTCAGAATTTTTAAGAAATGGAGAGACTATATTTAGGTTGGGCATAGAATTTGATGACAAAACTAAGAGACAACCAACACCTGTCAGGCATTAAAAATGAATGTGATACATATAACCAGCATATTTCTGAGGTCATTTAGCCATTCTCTGATAACATCATTCTGGCCCCATGTATCCTCTCCATAGGCAATGCCAATCAACCCATGCTGTAGGCTCTCTCAAGTGAATAACTAAGCCAGGCAGATACACTTGAATTAAACCTTTAAGAGAATAATCAAGTGTAGCATTGTATCTCACTCTGGTTTGAGTTGTACACAAAAAAATTGTAGTTCAAAGATATTAATGGAAAATTCCAGAAATAGGTAACTCATGAGTTCGAAATCATTTTATTGTAGAACACTACACAGTTGCTCTATTTTATTGGCAGCTCTTATTCACCTTTGCATGTAATTTAAGAAGTAAACTTTATCATGTTATGTCTATATAGGAGAAGGAACAATATATATGACATTGATACTACTTACAGTGCAGGCATCCACTGTAGAGAAAAAGGTCAAAAACAAACCCCTATATTTTAACAACCAAGCTACAACTATTTTGACCCTGCTTGTGACTTAAGATGTTTTATAAAAACATCTGAAGCATAATTCTCAATGACCCTCAGCATCTGGCATAAATAATCTCAAGAAAGACAAGTTGTGTTGTAAAATTTATTACTTAATAAGATAATGAGATGTCCACCTAGCTATCTGTATTTACATCTCACACAAATGGTCAGTAAGACCAAGGAAGTGGCCCTCAAATACCATAAAACTTTTACATCCTATCAGTCATGCACTTTCCTGTTTGTGGTCTCATCTGCTACCCACTTGTACCATATTTCTATAAGCTTTCTTTCTATTTGTGTCCTTGGTAAGTTTTGTTTACTAATATCCACTGGCCTTGTCTATTCCATCTTGAACAGCACTGACTGGTCATCTTAGAATATTGTCCCCACAAATAAGTAAAACTGGTTTACTGACGCACCACTTCCTCAGATCTCCACTGTGAACCCCTTAACCTACCATCAGAATGAAGTTGATACAGTAGGAGGCACAAAATGTGATCCCATGTTCCAGGTAACATGGTCTCTCCACCTCTACCTCACTTGCCCTGTATCTTAAGCATCTTAACAAGCCCCATTAATCACCTTGCTTCTTATTTGGTGTGTTAAAGGAGAATCTGAACCAACTGTTCAGTACATCATTCGGTTTTCTAATCTCTGTATTACTTTCCTGGTCTTGAAGACCACCCTGAACTCTCTACTCTGTACCATGTCTAAACCAAGTTCTCAGACATGTTGCTGGTCTCTGGGCCTTAAAGTGGCTACTCTATCCCATAGAAGGTACCTTTTTTGTAGTGAAGACTAAGATTAAATGGCCTCTAGCCCCAGGTTGTTCTTGGCCACCAGCACATTCAGGTCATGCTCCTGCTCCCAGATAGGCATCTGTTGGGGTTTGAGCCCCAGGTGCTTCTGGCCTTTGACTTCACTCTCCTACCAAGTGGTCATACCTACATCTCCTTTGTGAGGTAAGCTAGCCACTCTGATGCTGCTCTAGTCTGGATACCTCAGACTGGTCCTATCAGCCTTTTCCTCACTGCTCTTGTGTTGTGTGGCACTATTTCAGGGTTATACGGGGGGGGGGGGGGAAATGCCATACTATCCCAGATAGGAAACCAAAAGCAAACTAATATAAAAACACTACCAAAGGTCAACTTGGTGAGGCAGTGAATTTTACTGGGGTTACTTGCAGAAATATAAGTGAGGGCTTACTCGCAGGAGTACAAATGACTCAAAGCTGCATCAGCTTTTGTTGGTCTTTATGATAGTTATCTGTGATAATTTGAATATGCTTAGCCCATTGGAAATGGCACTATTAGGAATATCAGAAATTATTACACAATTTCTTATTAGTATATTATCTGTCCTCCCCTATCATTTAAGCATGGCTATACCTGATGGCTGAGTAATGCCTTATAATTGAATCTTGCCACCTGTTCTGAACATGTATCATTACACCGTTTGTATTATTAGCATGTATAGTGCAACAACCATTTGTACTCATGTCTTCACACATGCTTAATTTCTTACCCAGAACAAATTCCAAAACAAATTCCCCCCAAAAAATAAATCAATCATTAAGCATACAAATTTTGCAAGTGTCATTTCCAACCATGATAAAGAGTTTGTACATGGTGGGAGTAGGAAGAGAGATAACACTGAGAAACAGATACAAAAAAAAAGAAAGAAAAAAAAACAAAGGCTGAGTGAACCAAAGAGACAAGAGAATCCATGATTAGTTCCTGTGAATTCAACTTCTGACTCAGAAAGTGAAGTTGCTATACACACACAAAGTGGCTAGCATATCTCATTACCACAGGAGATCTAACAAAGGAAGGTGGGAGAGATGTAGATAAGAAAACCTCTAGAAGGAAGGAAAGAAGGAAGGAAGGGAGGGAGGAAGGGAGAACAAAAAAGGAAGAAAAATATAAGTGGGTAGGTGGTAGGATCAAAGGCTAGCTTTGAGCTGAGACAAGGTGCCAGGTGGGACCACAAGTTCCCTGAGGAGAATAACAAAGGAACCTCTACTAGGACCTCTTCCTATGCTTCCTACACCTGTACCTCCTAAGGCTCTGAATGTTCTCTTTCTTCAGATGGGCTCTGGAAGCTGAACTTTATTGTACCTCCATTTCCTTTTATCTTCCCTGCCAAGTAGTATCTTCCATGAACTACCACTTTCCAGTTATGGGCTCTAGTCCCCTGAGCAATTGGTTGCTGAATTTCAAATCTTGCAGCAGACTCTGCAAGCAATCCTCAGGAGAGCATGTCACTGTGAACCATACCTCCTCTGGCCCATCCTGGCTTGGGTACTCAAGTTCTCACTAAGCAATGGCAGTTGTGTGTGGTAATACTCAAATCCTTGAGATGTGTCCTTGTCACCTGGCGATTCTGCCAACATTTTCTATTTTAAGGTACTAATATACTTTGAAATGCATTCAGATTCGTAATTATTACAACTCCCAGTTGAACCATGCCTTGCACATTAAACAGCAACATTATTAAGCATTATTAAGCACATTATTAAGCATGTAGTAGTTTACATGTTTGGTGGAGTTTTGTCTCTATGCCCCTGTTCTAAACACAATGTCAGGGACTGGCCAGATAGAGGAAAGGTGGTGGCACTCACTGTTCTGGTGACTTACAGGAAAACCCTTAACTCTTGGCTTTTTCAGTTTATTAACAACACACCTAAAAATATTTTAGTATCTCTTTTTTGAGAATTATTCCACATCTTTCTTGTGTCATTGTATTTTCTGGCCCATCCCAGAATAGGACTTATTTTTAACCAACTTGCCACGTATATCCACTCTTGGTCATTTTGTTTTTCAGTTATCTTTTATATAATTTATGTTATTGGGCCTTGGTTCCTGTCTTTTCATAGGAAAATTTATCCCATTCATATCTTTGTGACCACTACTGTTCTTTTAATTAATTCAGAGCTAATTATAATTGTTGCTTTGTATTTTCTGTCCCAGGAGTGGTACTCATAGAATTGATTGTTTCATCCTCTAATGAACTGGAAATCCTCCATTGTACTTTTTTATTATATTTTAATTTTATTTTATGCGAATGAGTATCTTGCCTGCATGCTTACCACGTGTATGCCTGGTGACTCCAGGGTCAAAAGAGAACATCAGATTCCCTAAAACTGGAGTTACAGGCAGTTGTGATCTGCCATGCAGGTGCCAGGAATTGAACTCTAGTCTTCTGAAGAAGCAGGAAATGCTCTTAACCTCAGAACCATCTCTCTACCCACCCCCAGATACCATTATGTTTTTTTATATTTATCTAATTATTGTGTATTATGGAATCTTAAGGATCTTAAAATGGAGGAAACTGGTATAAACACAAAACTACTTGTGGGAGAAAAAATGATATGAAGGAAAGAGGAAACATGCCAAATGACAGAGGAAAACTCAGAGCTCAGGTTGCATGACTGCTGACCTTGGAAGCAGAGGCTGCCTTCCTGCAAGGCCTCTAGCTAGAAAAGCAAGGATAGGATGGAGCAGGAACCAACAGCACTGTTTACAAAATAAAAGCCAATACTTCTTGTGCTAGTCAGCAAGATTGGCTTATTAGGTTGGGTTTAGGTGAAGTGTCAAAACATACAGTGAGTAATTGATAGACAATGTTTCTTATTGCATCAAAAAGAAGGTAAAAGAAATTACACCAGGGGAAAGTAACAGGTGGCTGTAAACATAACTTTTATTCCTCTGGTATAATTGTCATCTCAGAGGCTTACTGCCACTGTCTGCTAACCTAGGCCTAGGTCTGGAAGCTTCTACTCTCTGTACAATTTTATCTAGGTCTAGAATGTTTTCAGCTTCTGAGATTTACAGCTGAATAAGTTCATCCTTTCTAGCTCTTTCTGCACTCCGGCTGGCTGGGAACCTCAGCTGTTCTCTCATGCTGACTGACTCAAACTGTCTTCTTTCAGCTTCTGACTGAATTGCTTTGCTTGACCTCATACTAACCTTAAGCAATTTGTTCTAATCCTCCGGCTCCTTCTTATTCTCTGGCTCATTCTGTCTTCACCTGTGTCTAGCTTGTTCTCTCTCTGCAACCTGTCTCTGTACAACTGTCCTGGTAAAACTGCCTTCTCTCTTTTTTTTTTTCTCTCTGCTCTACTCTTTCTTAAGTAGCCTCTCTTTTCTCTCTGTTCTGGTGAGAGTTGGGAATATCCTATTCAGTCAAATCTTTCTATGATTCATCACTTTATCTGCCTCTCAGTTAGGCATCACTTTCAAACATGGGTGCTTCCTTCTACAACTTAACTTTACTTTCATTGTTTGGTATTATAGGTATGTAATAAGGGCTTGTCTTTACTTCAGCCAGAATAGCCATGTTACTGGATTAAAATCTCTCTACAGGTGAACACTTTTATTAAAAATTTCCAGCTGCACTAAAACTGGGAGGAGTACAGCCGTGTGAATTTTATAGGAAGTTGAATAGGGTCAAGCTTTAGGTTAGCTGTTCAGGCCATGATTGGCATTCTATCCAACAAAAAAAGGGCATGGGAGCATGCTGTCTTATACAACTCAGTGCAAAGTTTTGAATGTGGAAGACAATTAGTTTTGTCTTCCCAAGAGGGATGTGTTTGTCAAAGGTGTCAGAGAAATTGAAACCCATAACCATTGCCTGAGCTTGGGTTTCTCCTGCTGTGATGAAACATGAAGACCAAAAGCAACCTGGGGTAAAGGGTTTGTTTAGCTTATGCTTCTACATCACTGTTTGTTATTGAAGGTAGTCAGGACAGAGACTCAAGAAGGGAAGGAATCTGGAGGCAGAAGCTGATGCAGAGACCATAGAGGGGTGCTGCCTATTCTCTTGCTTCACATGGCTTGCTCAGCCCACTTTCTTATAGAATCCAGGACCACCAACCCAGGGATGGCACCATCCACAATGGCCCCTCCCCCACCAATCACTAATTAAGAAAATGCTATACAGTCAGATCTCATGGAAGCATTTTCTCAATTGGAAGTCCTTCATTTCTGATGACTCTATCTTGTGTCAAGTTGACATAAAAAGGCATCTGTAAGTACCTGTTCTTCACAGTCTGAGACAAAATAGCATCACCAATGTTAAACCCTATCAAAGGGGAACCATGTAGAAATGGTGAGTCAGTATTGTGGTGGACTCTAAGGTGGAGTCAGGGCCCTGGTGCTCTCTTTCCTATGTTTTTGTTATTGTTGTTGCTCCGGTTTTGTTTTGTTTCTCCTTCTTCTTTCTCTTGTACTTTTATTTTTACTTTTAGAGACAGGGTTTCTTTGTGTAGCTCTGGCTGTCCTGGAAAACTCTTTCTCTGCAAATTAGGCTGGCACCAAACTTAAAAACCCTCCTGACTCTGCTTCCCAAGTATTGGAGTTGAAGGATGTGTGCCACCCCACCTAACCCCTCTTTCTTAATTTCTATTTGTCTCCAGTCCCTCCATCTCTTGACATAAGCAACTGAAACATTTCCATTTTCATATAGAATGTGGAAAGACAGATCAAAGCATGATCTTTACTGCCAACTAGGGCGCTATGGAGAATTTTCTCCTTTGCAAACATCTACTCATCTCCAGCTGAAGAGCAAAGTTAAAGCTCCTGACGTGATTAATTGCTATTTCTGTCTACCTCTCCACATAGCTCGGTCCCTATGATGACATTCCCCAAAGCACTCCACAGTCCACCTTGAGCCTTCTTCATCTGCAGGACCTAAAATATGCTGGATTCAAGGATGCTGTGTCATTTCTCAAAAGCAAAGTGGTCTCATGAAAGTTTCTCCAGTTGAGACCACAAAATCAGCAGCATTGTTTTTGGTTAACACTTTTTAATACCCAGTGAACCTGGGATGAAAAGGGTCACATCATTTATTCCTCATAGATCTATCCTTTACTGCACATTTTGTTTTACTCTTTTATTTTTGTGAGCCATGGTT